ATTTTGCCATTATCAAACTTTTTTTTTCTTATATAATTGTCACCGTCAGATTCCGCCCGGCAGCTTCTTCCGCCTCGAGTTTTCGCTATTGTTTTTTTTCTGCGTTTATTATTTTCTATTCATTACATTCATCTGGCTGTTTTGTAGGAGTTTGATGTACTCTGTGGCGTTGTTGTTGTTTTTTGCGTGTGTGGTTGATTGTTTTCCACACTGAGTATTTTTTGTTGTGTTCTTCACTCATTGTTATATCTTAATAAGAAGTTTTGATTTTTTTTTGTGTTTGATAGAAAGGGTTGTTGGAGTAAGAGTGATTTAGGTATTTCTAAAAGGGCTTTGTTTAGCAACGTGTATTTTTTTAAGAAGCAGAAGAGATTGTAAAAGTTTTTATTCATTCATCTTTTGGGGTGCGGGGCTCCTAATAGTTACGGTAAAACCGCACTCTGGGTCACTTTGCATTTTTTCCCCCAAAGGACTGCGGTTTCTTGATTATCGTTGAGCTTTTTAAGTCTTTCCACCCTCATTAAGGGAGATTCGTGTTATGCCGAGTCCCATGCGAGCTAAACTTTCCCTGTTATTATGTTTACTGATGTTTACTTTCACTGCCGCCTTCCGTTATTATCATTTATGGTTGTCGGGTTGTTGCGGTGCAGGTTGCCTTTCGGTGATGGCTCTTTTGCAGTTTTACAACCGGCAGCCGTTGCCTCTCGTGACCTCTGCGGCCTCTGTACTAACTGGTGACCTTTGTACGATCTTCGACCTGTGACCCGAGGTATGCGGTAGCCGTGATGTCGGGACTTGAAGATTGCACCGGTTTTTATAAATGGTCGGGAGGTGGCGTGACGGTAGCGAACTCCAGGATGCTAGTCACGGTTCTATGCACTCGCTCGTGTCTCTAAATACGTGGCAAATAGTTTAAATGCGCCACACACGTAAATGCAGATTTTTAGTATATTACCACACACATAACCACGCGCGCGCACACGCACACACTCACTCACACGCACACACACACACGCACGTACACGTACACGCACACGCACGCACGAACGCACACACACACACACACACGCACGCACGCACGTACGTATTCACAAACAGAAACATATAGTACACATACACAAACACACACACACACACACACACACACACACACACACACACACACACACACACACACACACACACACACACACACACACACACACGCACACACGCGCGCACACGCACACGCACACGCACACACACACACACACACACACACACACACACACACACACACACACACACACACACACACACACACATATAGTACACATACACAAACACACACACACACACACACACACACACACACACACACACACACACACACACACACACACACACACACACACACACACACACACACACACACACACACACACACACACACACACACATACATTCCTACCCACCCATGAAGAATGCGAAGAAGGCAAGGTCCGATGGCAGCATAACCCCCCCCCCCCCCGCTCTCCCCTCCCGACAACAGCCGAGGCTTCAGGTAACCGCGTGACCCACTTCCCCGCCGCGTCCAATATGGCCGCCAATGTTTACATCCGTCAGCCTCAATTTTCAGGTGGTGTGGGAAGTTTTAATTTGGTTTGCTTGGTCATTTATTTGCCATTTAAGCGAAGTGCACAAGCTTGTGATGCATTTGATATATGGGTCACTCATATTCTTACCATATTATGATAGATATTGGATTACTATATTTTCAAATACGTCAGTTTACACGGAATAAAACACATGGCATTCCGTACTTCATGTTAGGTAGTCCGAATGGCTGTGTCATGGCTTCGGAAGTCTTTGGTAATGAATCTTCGTAGACTCATGTTTCTTTTTTTTTTTGTCTGAAGGTCGGGATAGTATGTCACGGGGTTGTGAAGTGTCTGGAAACTTTCTTTTGGCAGGTTGATTGGTTGCGCGCATAGTTGTGTAAAAATGGCAATCAGTTTTCAGTTGCTAATTATTTGTGCTTGCGTGGTTGTAATTATGGTTGGGCGGTGGTTGATGCACCTGAGTTTTATTTTTTTTAGTAAAGAAGGCATTATGGTGAATTTATGTCTGGTTTGCATATAATTTTATAGCTCATATGCTTCTTATTTGCTCTATTTTCACCCTAATGTCAAAATTTAATTTTCAGTGATTAGACGTAAAAGACCGCAGTTGCCAGTGTCGGATATGAATGGTAAAAAACTCACAGATCTTTAGTATTGTCATATCTCAGGTGTTCATACCGGCTGACACTAAACCACGGGATTTTGCGCAATTATTGTGAGTAACTTGAATCGCGGATCACTTCCTATTGCCACATTGTGTGTGTGTGTGTGTGTGTGTGTGTGTGTGTGTGTGTGTGTGTGTGTGTGTGTGTGTGTGTGTGTGTGTGTGTGTGTGTCTATGTCTGTGTCTGTGTGCATATGTGTGTATGGATGGGGGTAAGAGAGAGAGAGAGAGAGAGAGAGAGAGAGAGAGAGAGAGAGAGAGAGAGAGAGAGAGAGAGAGAGAGAGAGAGAGAGAGAGAGAGAGAGCGAGCATACTCCAAACTGCACTGTTTCCCTCCGCCGTCCCTCCAGAAGGCCCAGGTGACATTCCGAACCCCAGGAGGGCCAGCCTGAGTATCACGCCCTGGCACGGGTGGCCTTTGGCAGCAGATCGGGTGCTAGATTGCTATTATTCAGGAAGCGTCTTTTACCTTTCCCGTGATCTGGAAAGGGCAGGCAAGAAGGGGGGGGGCACGGAGGGGGAAAGAGGGGGAGGGGAAGGGGGAGGGAGCGGGGTTCAGCGCGTGGGAATCGTACTCGTGGGAGGGACTTTGCACGGGCGGGCAGGCGGGAGCGCGTCTGGCCGTGTCGATGTGCCGTCGGTGACTTTAACACGGCGGTAAGTGGTGATCTGACGTGGACTGCCGTATTTCATTCCTTTATGCTAGTAGTTTTACACGTTGATTTGTGTGTGCAGTTTCTCTCCCTCACCCTCTCCCTCTCCCTCTCCCTCTCCCTCTCATGCCACATGCCGGTACTCATGGTGCCACTGTGAACATGAGCAGAAAGTCGTTTCATTCCAAGCCGTGAGCCACATCCTAATTAGCCACTCGCGTCCTGAAAGCCAATGCAGGGCAACCACCTTGGGAGTGTGTGATCCCGTTCGTCCTTAGAGATAGTGGTTAGGAGTCTTTATTCTTCGGGACCATATTGTGTCTCGTACTTTTGTCACTGATCTGAGTCTCTGTCTGGATGTTTGTCTGTTTATCGCTGTCTTCTCTCTTTTTTTTTCTTTTTCTGTTTTTTCGTCCGACCGTCCATCCACCTCTCTTTCTTTCTTTCTTTCTTTCTCTCTGTCTCTGTCACTCTGTCTCTGTCTCTCTCTTTCTCTTTCTCTTTCTCTTTCTCTTTCTCTTTCTCTTTCTCTCTCTCTCTCTCTCTCTCTCTCTCTCTCTCTCTCTCTGTCTCTGTCTCTGTCTCTTTCTCTCTCTCTCTCTCTCTCTCTCTCTCTCTCTCTCTCTCTCTCTCTCTCTCTCTCTCTCTCTCTCTCTCTCTCTCTCTCTCTCTCTTTCTCCATCCCCTCCCCCTCCCTCCCTCCCTCCCCCTCTCCCTCCCTCTCTCCCTCTCTCCCTCCCTCCCTCCCTCCCTCCCTCCCTCCCTCCCTCCCTCCCTCCCTCCCTCCCTCCCTCCCTCCCTCTCCCCCCCTCTTCCCCCTCTCCCTCTCCATCTCTCCCCTCTCTCTCCACGAAATTTACGTCATCTCAGCATTACCGCAGGAGACACATACTATGTGGACCTTTCTTAACCTCAACGCTAGGGGGGAGGGGAGGGGGGGAGGTTTTGCGGTGGGGTTGATGGGGTGGGGTGGAGGAGGGGGGTTAGTGAGGTGAGGGGATGACTACTGACCATTGCGGTGTTTTAGGGCGTTTTGCAATATCCTTGGATCATTTAATTGCAGCGTGGTGTGAGGTTGGTTGCGTGTTGCTTGGTCCGTGCTGGTTGGGTTGAGTTGAGTTGGATATATATATGTATATGTATGTATGTATGCATGCATGTATATGTGTGTGTGTGTGTGTGTGTGTGTGTGTGTGTGTGTGTGTGTGTGTGTGTGTGTGTGCATATATATATATATATATATATCTATATCTATATATCTATCTATCTATATATATATATATATATATATATATATATATATATATATATGCATATTTTTATATATACAAATATATATGTATATATATATATATATATATATATATATATATATATATATATATATATATATATATATATATATATATATAAATGAATGAATGATAACCCCGTTCCTCTCGGCCAAAACCGGTATTTTCTCCCACATCCCAAACTCATCACACGCCGCAGTGTGAAGAAATCTCAGGTCGTGTGTTCTGCGTCGTGCCGAGGTCATTACATCGCCGGGCCAAGGTTTCCCGAACCGAAGATCCTACGTGGCATCCCCAATTCAGTTCGTGTCTTTAATGGAAGCCATTCGTTGTATCAGTGTCATTGCTCTCACGATAGTTTTTAATCTACGTGTGTTAAAAAAAAAAAGAAAATTGTTTTTAGATTTCATTTGAGGGCGTGTGATACCTGTTACGGGGGGGGGTGGGGGTAGATGAACTTGCTCCGGTTGATTTCATTGGTTTAGTTTTGCTGTGATGATCATCTATATTTTCCGATTTCTTTAACCGACTTTACGGGGAGTAGCTACACTGATCTCTGAAATGTTACGTGAAATGTTATGTTTGCTTTAGGGTAGATAGAGATTGTTTTAGGCATTTTTGGTTGGCGTTTTGCTTTGATTTTACATGGTTTTCTGTATTACATCTGAATTTGATGTTGTTTTTGGGTGTAATTCAGTCAACGTCAGGAAGTAACGAACACCAGGTAAGAATATCTCGACATGGCTTTGTAAACACGAATCTTAACGGCTTTTTACTCCCTCTTCCTCAGATTAATCGCTGTCTCTCGGCAAGGATCTCCAACCGACCTGTCATGGGCAACGTGCGGGCGGGCGTGGGCGTCGCGGCATTGATGCTGTGGGCGGCAGTGGGCGTGCAGGGTCATGGCAGACTGATTGAACCGCCATCCAGATCTTCTGCTTGGAG